TACTTTTTACGTTTAAATTAACTTAGTACTTACTAACTAACTAGTAGTACTAACTAACTACCTCCTTCCTTACTACTACTCTACACTCACTACACTACACACACACACACACACACACACACACACACACACACACACACATATATATATATATATATATATATATATATATATATCAAATTAGAGCCTACCTGAAAACTTTTACTAGAAGAGGTTGTTTTGATGCCCAAATATCCTCAAATTAAACATCTTGACATCAAGGTGCATGGACATGAGAAAAAAATGGATTCCAAGTTTTGGAAATAGTGAGTTTTGTATCGCATTTTTGGACCATCAATTTTCAAGATTTTCAAGTTTTCGTAGATCTGTTGATCTACACTATTTTTGAAGCTTTAAACTTTATAAATAAATATGCAAATATATTTTAAGGCTATCACAAAGATTTCCAGTATTGAAACCGCATTTCTCGAAACTATTTGAAGGTAGGCTCTAATTTGATTGTTTAGAGCCTAGGCTCTATGCAAACCGCACCCATATATATATATGTATATATATAGATGGTTACATTTATTTCCCCCCCTTCAGGTAGATGGTTTCATATTTTTCCTCTCTCCTTCTACAAGAATGACTTCAATATATGAAAGGTTCTTCAGTAACGTCCTTGAAAGATAGAACTATTAGACATTTAGGAAGAAAACCAAAGAAAATAGATAGGCTTCTTCTTCTTCTCAAAAAAATTAGACAGGCTTCTTTGTTCTGGGAAAACATATTGGCAGTGATGTGGTCCATAGTGTAAAGGAGCATCCTAAACAAAAGATAAAGAATGTAGCAAGGAATTTCCACCAAATATATGGCCTGAAATTATTAGGCAGCCATTAATGAAGTTGTAAACAACATTGCAACTTTTATTTAACTCTTTTAAGAGAAACATGGACAGTTAAAACAGGCAAGAAAATGTGATACTACGTTTTTGTCCTATGTTATTCTCTCCTTTTCTCTTCTCATTTCCAGTCATCATTTTTGCTGGCCTGTAGAAATATCCAGAAAGGAGATCCACTTTGATTCTGTAAGATTGGAAAATTCCAATTGTGGGAATTGATGCATGGATAAGGTGTTGTGTCTCCTAAATGTCCTAACCACAGAGCTAAAATTGCGAGCCCAAATAATGTCAAATCTCAGAAGAACTAATATGAGAAAAGAGGAAACATTAATTCAAGCTGCACTCATTTGACAAAATTGGCCCATCCAGATGAGATTGGATTTCAAGGGACTACCCTGTCCTAGATAAAAATATTGTCAGTTCGTAACCAGTGCAAGTAGCTCAACCTAAAACATTCATAGATTATATCTACAAGATATTCTTCAAAAACATTAGGACAGAACTAGAAAGACCTCACTAAATGAAGCCTATGTTATTCTTAGAGGGAGACTAACATCTCTTTAAAGGTGATCAGTAAAGAAAAGCAATCAAATTCTGCAAGAGCAGTAAGATTCATTTAGACTCAAGTTAATAAATTGAAAAAAAAAGGCAGGAACAAGAGCATAATAGGTAGTCAAATTCTTCAGAACCTAGTTACATTTAACACCTTACATTGACACTCAATCAAGCTAGTAAATTGTTGAATGCCAGATAACAAGAGCATGACAAGCAGGCAAATTCAAGTCACACTGACACTCAATCAAGCTAACAAATCATCAAACAACATAAAACAACAACATATTCAAACATCATCATCATCATCATCATCATCATCATCATCATCATCATCATCATCATCAACAACAACAATAATAACAATAGTTACCTTGGTGGCCCTGTCTCGCTGCTAAGTGCAAGGCATTGAAGCCGGCACGGTTCTTTGTAGATAAGCTCTCTGAAGTGGCATAATTCAAAAGTTCGTTCAACACATCCAAGTGCCCTCTTTCTGCAGCAACATGAAAAGCAGTTTCCCCCAATTCATTAACTTCATTGACAATGGCTGAGCGTATCTCAGCCATTTGCTGATCGATACCTGAACAACCATTGTTCACATTGATCACTTGTGCATCAATATCCCCAAGGATTTGCTTAACAGCTGCGAGGTCGCCCCTTTGTGCAGCCAAGTGAAGGTCAGTGTCGTGGTGCTTTCCTGTAACTTGTTTCACGTATTTCTTCTTACAGGCTTGATCCATTCTTTTACCTGAATTTGATAATACCAAGGATGGAGCTGATGGAGTTGATGGTGTTGTTACAGTTGGGGACCTCGGGGTTTCAGCGGTTGAGCCTAGTGGGAACCTTGGGGTTGTAGCGATTGAGCCTAGTGGGGACCTTGGGGTTTCAGCAGTTGAGCCTAGTCCCTTCTCCAAGTCCCCCTCCCCTTGACCTTTATGAGCATTCACGAGAAAAAACAACACAGAGAGATGAATATGACGACGGTGATCAGATATTTGAATGGAAGAGTACAAGAAGCCTCAAAAAATACCCAAAAAATTGGGAACAAAACAACATTGAGGAAAGAAGATGACAGAATTCGAGTCAATGAATCCTTTATTTTCCCATATAGTTCTACAAGGCAAGTATGAGATGCATGAATTATTGACCCAAAAAAAAAAAAGTGAACATTCAGTAGCACAATCAGATAGAAATATGAACATTCATACTTAATTTAAAAATGTGTAAGATAATCCTTCCTTAATCAGAGCTGAAAAATAAAACAAAATCCAAGCCTGAATTATTCTACCCACAATCTAGACAGGGAAATGGCAAAAGAAAAAATCGAACTCCAAACGGTTGCAGATCCTCTTATCCATCCTTTGTTCCAGCCCCATATCCCCCATTCTTTTCCTTCAATAAAATAGGCCCTTATTCCCCGTTCTTTTGTAAGCGTCCATTTATATATATTTTTTTACTCTTTATTTTCACAGTAAAAAAGAAGAAACATAGATTCCCCTCCACGAACAACACAGGCGATTATCATTAATTCAGTGATTCTATAAGAAGAGATCCTTACCCAAGATTTCAAGACCCATAGTGGTAGCTAGACAAGGAGCTCAGCAGATGAAGAAGAGTCCTCCTTCTCCTAGGGCATCAAGCATGGAATGGCCTGCAACTTATGTAGAGGATAAAAGAAGGAAACCCCATGGCTCCTCTTTCAGCGAGAGAGAGAGAGAGAGAGAGAGAGAGAGAGTGTGGTGTGATGGTGTGGAAAGAGCGCAGAGGGAAGGTTCGTGGGAGCTGAGGAGCAAGAGAAAACAGGTTTTGTCCGCTGACGGGTAGCGAGGACAGGGCCGCCGCCCAGGTGGTGGTGGGTCTCGTGGCTCCATAATTCGTTGTTCTTTTTCCTTGTTTTTCCTGAAAAGGTCCTATTCATCAATCTGCACCGTCTATTTTATATGGATGGCGTAGATTTCCCACAATTTTTTTTTTTTTTAAGTAAAAGCATCCCGTCCACATGATGTGGATGGGTGAATGGGTGCACAAGCTATTTTCTTTTTTTTCAAAAGAGGTGTAGAGCTCACCTCTAAAATTAGAGCGCCCCTCTAAAATTTCATCTTAAAAGTTGTTTTGATGTTCAAATATATCCTCAAATTAATCATGTTGACATCAAGATGCATGGTCATGGGAAAAAAAAATAGATTTTAAGTTTTGAAAATAGTATATCTTGTAATGCATTTTTAGACCGTTGATTTTCTAAGTTATCATAAATCTGCTCGATCTATACTATTTTTTAAGCTTGAAATTTTTTAATTAGATATGAAAATATATTTTAAGGATATCACAAAGATTTTCAGTTTTGAAACCACATTTCTCGATACTATTTTAAGGTGTGCTCTATTTTGATTGTTTAGAGCCTCGGCTCTATACAAATCGCACCTTTTTTGTTTTTCTTTTTTTGACTCTAAGTTTATTTTTAGAGAAAATTACGTAAATATCTGTTATATTTTTTGTTATTACAAAAATACTTTTTAGTTTCTGTTATTGCAGTTATGTCTGTTTTTCAACTTTGTTTATGTTTTTTTTTAAAAAAAAAAAGGCCCAAGTACTTATTTTTGCTTTTTCAAAAACCGAAATAAGCCTAATTTCAATTTTTGAAAAACTGAATTGTAGTCGGTCCGATTAACTCCATTTTGGTCTCCTCTCTCACTACACTAACATTTTCGGTCTCTTCTCTCTCTCTATCTATCTATCTATTTTCTCTTACCTCTGTCACAAGAAATCCAGGCTTTGGATTATATTTGAAGGTTTTTTATGGATTTTGATGGCATTTGACTATTTTGAAGGCATTTAACGGATTTCATATATGTAGAGAAGTATATAATGAGTTGTGAGTCGATTTCATAAATTTAGATTGTATAAGATTTTGATTTAGGGCTTCACACATGAAATTTTGGTTTTTTTTTTTGGAATTAGAAATTGGGGTTTTTTTTGTTTAAAGCTAGAAAGAGCTTGATGCATTAATATCAATGATTCAGTATGGCCCTATTTTTAATCGACGAATCTTACTGTGCGTCGATGCATTGATATCAATGATTCAGTATGGCCCTATTTTTAATCAACCAATCTCACTGTGTGTCATCTATAGATTTTCTCTTCAATTAGGCTTCTTTACCTTATTTTCCTACGAAGGCTGATATGGTGCTGCTTTGATACTTCATATTTTTTCTGGTTTAGAGTAAGTTGTGTTTCTTTGGTAGTAATTCTGATGCTTCCCCCTTTCTCTACTTTCAACTTTAATCGTGATAGGCCATCTGCACTGATCATTTGCTATCCCTCAATAGCTTATTTTAGTGAAATGCATGCTCCATATCTATTGCTTTGATATTAACTCATACAATTGTGTCATGCTCTCTCAGTGAAACTCGGACATTGGCATTTTCAAGTGTGCATTTGGGAGAAATTGTATGAATATTAATATCAATATGGTCATTGCAACAAAATAGTGTCTTTTTAATTTCAAAACTATTTTCCAAAATGTACCATTGGTAAATAAAAAAAGGTTTTTGTAATAACTAGATAGCATGTATTTGTGGAGCCTGTATTTGTGGATGTATCAAGATAATGGTAGTATTTTTGGTTTGAAAAATACTTATATGTATTTCAAAACAATACTATGGCATATTATTCTTTTCTAAATTGCTTTGATTGTGGTTTTATTGTTCTTTCCTGAATTTCTTTGTAGAGAGAAAGATGTAGGTTGTGTCCCACATTAAAGATGAGAGAGTTTGTTGAGGTGTATTTAAGAGCACTCATTCATATACAATATACTCTAAGTACAAAGGAGAGAGAAGGCACATGTGCAGAGTATGTGAATGCGTACGTGCATGGGCGAGGGCAAAAGGATGCTTGAGGGCGCACATTTAGATATCGATGAGTTTGTCAATCATCTAA